ATTATAATCAGATCTGTACTTTATAAAGTATGTGAATATCAGTGTGTCCAAAGGCAGTTGGCTTTAGAAAATATATTTTTTTGTAAACTTAACTAGCATATTAACTTGTAAAATTATGCTTGTGTAGTGCTGCTTTTCAAGGATGATGATAAAAAAAGAAAGTAAAATTCAGAAAATTTTTGAGTAATCTATAGTTGATTTGTATTTTCAGAAGTGTAATGTGGTAGTTGCTGCCTAGTAATGTGCTGAGTATACAGGGTATAACCAGCTGACATTTATGATGAAATTACCTTCTGAAAACAAACTTGCTCTAACCGGTTTGACTCAATGGATAGAGCGTCGGCCTTCGGACTCAAGGGTTCCAGGTTTGATTCCTGTCAAGAGCATATATCTTAGTTGCAGGTACATACCCAGTAGGGAGTGTGCAGGAGGCAGCTGATCCATGTTTCTCTCACATTGATGTTTCTAACTCTATCCTTTCCTCTCTGTAAAAAAATCAATAAAATGTATTCAAAAAACACACCACAAACTCAACATGTTGAATTGGAGAAGATAGTGGGAATTAAGAATTTGCAAGTGGAAGGAAAAACATATATTTAGCAGTTTGCTGTTCACAGTGTATTCTTTTTTTTTTTTTTTTTTTTTAAATATATTTTATTGATTTTGTACAGAGAGGAAGGGAGAGAGATAGAGAGATAGAAACATCGATGAGAGAGTCATCGATTAGCTGCCTCTTGCACACCCCCCACTGGGGATATGCCCGCAGCCAAGGTACATGCCCTTGACCGGAATCGAACCCGGGTCCCTTCAGTCCCCAAGCCGACGCTCTATCCATTGAGCCAAACCGGTCTCGGCGACAGTGTATTCTTAATAAAGCTTTTAAAGTATTAAAGAGTTTGACACTATGTTTTATTGGAAATGTTTGCACTTTTACCTACAGAGCTATAGAGGGTGCTGTATCCTTAAGAAAAGTAGTGGGGTTTGCTTTAATTTCGTTAGGCCAGAGCATTAAAGTTAATTTATTTTTCTTGGATGTACATCTTTTTTTTCTACTATTTTAATTGAAGTTAGAATTACTAATGTTGCATAATTGGTATAGTTTACAATGAATATTGATATAATGGACTTGGTTGTGAAATGTTTGTTTTCGAGAATATTTAAATATAGTTGAAATTATGATTTCCCTACTTTATACTGGTTAACAAAGGTTTATTTTTCTACCATTTGCCTTCTTCTCCCTCTCCTTCCAAATTGAGAATTGTCCTGTTTTGACAGTCTCTTTTCTTCAGATGGGTCAAAAAACAGTCAAACCATATAATGAACTGTATGCTTTGGTAGGTTTGGTTCAAAGGGTATTATCTTGAGAGGAGAGATTGTTAGAACAAAGTGGAATCTACAAACCTCGCAGACTTCAGAAGTTGTTTTTTCTTTTCTTTTCTTTCTTTTTTTTTTTTTTTTTTTTTAAAGAAGCTGACTAATTTATTCAGATAGGAGTTCTTTAAATTCTAGACTTAGTCTCTATTTTTTAAAATTTAATGGTGATTTTAGAAAACTTGAAGTCAAATTATCCGATAATACTTTTTTTTATGGTTAAAAAAGTTTGGTTTTTTAAAAAAAATATATTTTATTGATTTTTCACAGAGAGGAAGGGAGAGAGATAGAGAGCTAGAAACGTCGATGAGAGAGTAACATCGACCAGCTGCCTCTTGCACACCCCCTACCGGGGATGTGCCCACAACCAAGGTACATGCCCTTGACCGGAATCGAACCCGGGACCCTTCAGTCCGCAGACCAACGCTCTACCGCTGAGCCAAACCAGTTTCGGCAAGTTTGGGTTTTTATTGTTTTTGCTAAACTGCTATTTTTTAATTTTTTTTTATTTTGAAGGCTGGGATGGAATTATTAATTTTGATCCATTTATTTAATTTGTAAAAAAGGGGAAAGAGATCATGGTGTAGAGATAGTAGTTAACTCCCACTGCATCCTCGAAGCTCTAGTCAGTGACATGAGCATCACCCACTTTCCACTATTCAGATGATGGCACACTTTGCCCCAGTAGATCACCCTGAAGGCACAGGGCAATGGGTCCTAGTTTTAGTTCTCAGCAGGTTATTCAAACCAGCTAAAGTGGTGGGCTAAAGTCCAGAAATTCCTTTTTCCCACTCGTTAATCTTTATCTCTACCTAATAAAGAGGGAATTTGCAAATTGACCACTATGCCGTTACAAAGATGGCGGCGCCCAGTCCTTTCAGCCCAGCTGGAGGGGTAGCAGGTGCCGCCCGAGGCTCAGGTAACCAGGGCCAGTCAAGGCTTGCGCTGCTGGCAGTGGCAGCATCAGAGGTGTGATGGGGCATTGCCTTCCCCTGAGTGCCAGGTCACCTCCCGCCCCTGAGGGCTCGTGGACTGTGAGAGGGGCAGGCTGGGCTGAGAGACCCCCCTCCCTCCAGTGCATGAATTTTCATTCACCGGGCCTCTAGTGTGTGTGTATGTGTGTTTACTGATTTCAGAGAGGAAGGGTGAGAGAGAGATAGAAACATCAATGATGAGAGAGAATCAATTGGCTGCCTCCTGCACACCACCCTCTGGGGTCCAAGACCATAACCTGGCATGTGTCCCTAACCGGAATTCAACCTGGGTCCCTTCAGTCCGAAGGCCAATGCTCTACCCACTGAGCCAAAACGGCTAGGAGAAGTCTGCAACCAAGGTATATGCCCTTGACTGGAATGGGACCCAGGACCCTTTGGTCTGCAGGCCAGCTCTGTCTTTTGAGCTAAACTGGCTAGGGCTGTCCAGAAATTCTTTCCAGGATTTCTGTCCATTGGCTGACCACATACAACTATCAGGAGCTTATAAAATTTAAGGGGGTTGGGGAAGGAGGAGGTTGGCAGAAGATAAATTATATAGGCCATTCAAGCTTTCTCCTGGGCTAGTGATTCTGGATACAGACTTCAAGGGAGGTTGTGATAGGTGGACTGTAGGTTTCTGATGAAAGAAAATCATCCCTTGAGGAGGAGTTCAGACATGCCATGCAGAGAAGTTATTGCAGAGGGCACTGGAGAAAGGGCAGTTGATCCATCTAGGAGATAGGAGGTTCACCTACTGTGTTTCCCCGAAAATAAGACATCCTCCGAAAATAAGTCCTAGCGCATGGAAAAATAAGACATCCTCCGAAAATAAGTCCTAGCGCATGGAAAAATAAGACATCCTCTGAAAATAAGATCTAGCGCATCTTTGGGAGCAAAAATTAATATAAGACACAGTCTTATTTTTGGGGAAACAGGGTAGTACCTTGAAGTAAGATGGAAGGCTGATGGATAATCCTGAGGTTTCGGCCAAATATGAGACTGGTACACACATACAAAACTGAAAAGCCATCAGGAACACCCAAAACCAACTCCACCTACATTCATTGGCTCTGCAAAGTGCTGCCAGAGATTTTTGCTGTCTGTTAGTAAAAAGAAACATGTAAGAAGCAGAAAATATTTAGAGAACATTCAAATATCTCTTCCCCAAGATTATATATTTAAAGTTAAGAAAAAGTAAAACTGATTCAAGCAGTACCCTGTGTAAAAAAAAAAAGGAAAAAAAGAAAAATTTAAAGCGAGACCTCTGTCTGCTGCTACAGTCTCAACTTAAGTATCACAGTTGAAGAGAAGATGTAAAAGTTTCTTTCATTCATTTAGAAGTCAAGTATGCCATTTATAAAAACACTACCCTGTTTCCCCGAAAGTAAGACTGTGTCTTATATTAATTTTTGCTCCCAAAGATGCACTAGATCTTATTTTCAGGGGATGTCTTATTTTTCCATGCACTAGGTCTTATTTTCGGAGGATGTCTTATTTTTGGGGAAACACGGTAAAGGCCCAGTGCATGAAATTACAAAATTCATGTGCTGGGGGAGAGGGGTGTCCCTCAGCCTGGCCTGCACCCTCTCCAATCTTGAACTCCTTGGGAGATGACCGACTGCCTTTTTAGGCCTGATCCTGCCTAAACCAGCAGTCGGACATTCCTCTCACAATCCAGGACTGCTGGCTCCTAACCACTTGCCTGCCAGCCTGATCACCCCCTAACCATTCCCCTGCTGGACTGATTGATGCCCAAGCGCTCCCCTGCCAACCTGCCCTCCCCTGCTAAACTGATGACCCAAAGCTGCCCTTCCCTGCCGGCCTGATGGTCCCCAACTGCCCTCCTTTGCAGGCCTGGTTCCCCCCAACTGCCTGTCCCTGCAGGCCTGGTTGCCCCCAGTTGCCCTCCCCTGCTGGCCATCTTGTGATTATGTAGGAGCAGCCATCTTGAGATGACATGGGGACAGCCATCTTGTAAGGGTGTGAGGGTCTATTTGCATATTACATCTTTATTGTATAGGACTAGAGGCCTGATGCACGAAATTCTTGCAAGAGTGGGCCTTTCTTCTCCCAGCTGCCAGCACCAGCTTCCCTCTGGTACTTGGGACCCAGGCTTTCCTCTGGCCGCTGGCAACCACCCAGGACCTAGCTTCCCTCACAGCCCTGGCTTTCGTCTAATTAGCATATTATGCTTTATTATAGATAAAGGCAGGAACAGACTAGGAAAGGAAAGTAACTTTGGATTCAGTTTCATCAGGGTAAAGAATTTTGAAATTATTTAAACTTGGTCAAATTAAGTGGAGTGGTACATTTTGGAATAAAAGGTAATAAATTATCTGGGTTTAAAAAAATACAAAGAACATCTTAGATAAGTATCTGTTTTTCTAAAATGTAGGCAATTTTAAAGGATTCTGACCCCAACCTTGCAAGTAATTTCTTCCTTTTTCCTAAAACTGTATTTTAAATACTGGTATTTATTATGAAGCTTCAGGTTAATAGTTCCTTAAAAAAAAAAAAAGTAAGAATTTGTGTTCCTTTGGTACCCCTACTCCACAAAGTGAAAGTGTTTTTTCATTGTGAGTAAAAGGATTGTTGTTCAAGTTTCCTTACTGAACACATGTGCTCTATTTTTGTTTGTTTCTCTTTAATGTCAAGGCACCTCCTTCCATGGTCAGCAATGAGCAACGCCAGCATGCAGAGCACATATTCTTATCATTTAGGAAATCGAAGTCACCATTTGCAGTTTGCAAGCATATTTTGGGTAAGTATTCACTTTAAAAATATTTTTGCATGATCACTTCTAATTTTCCTCTCCTGAATATTACATATTTTAAATTCCTTTTAAAATAAGCAGGTTGTATAGTTATATATATATATATATATATATATATTATTAATAATCATTCTCTGAGGTGGCTTTAAAGATATCCCATATAGCCAGACAGAAAACATTTTTTAATTTTGGATTTTTCTCCCTTAGATATAGTGGTCAATAATTTGTTTTATTATTGATCATAGTGTGAAGGTTGTTAAGAGTGGGGGGAAAAAGTCTAATATTTTTTCAGTTGTTTTCAACTGTGATGTCATTTATTATACCAAATGTACTATGTATTATCTCAGGGTTTTAAAATTTAGATAGTTTTTGGAACTTTTCTACAATTTTCTTTTTCATAGTTTTTTTTTAAACCATGTAGTTTGTACTCAGCTTGCTTAAATAACTACTAGTCAGTTCTGTGTAAGTTATCACTGTATATCCTAAAGTGAAGCATTGATTTTTACACTTGTATTATGAATACCTTATATCTGACATATGTACAGAAATGATCTCTTTCCAAAAACGATATTATTTATATATATATATATATATATATATATATATATATATATATATATATATATATAAAGTATATATGGCAGATGCCATAACTACATTAACTGAGTTCTATTAGTGTTTCATTTAACACACACACACACACACACACACACACACATAATATAGTCTTCTGCCTCTTAAATATTTTATAACCTTGTTATTATTGGCTCTTTTTTTTTTTTTTTTTTTTTTTTTTTTAAATTGGAACCATTTTTGTCACCTAGAGTTAAGGCTCTAAAATGCTGCGTTATCCAATGACCACAGAATTGGCTAGTTGAATACTAGGAACTAAAATAAAATATCTGACCTTTTATTCTTATGCTTTGACTTATCTGTTAGCCAGCAGATTGAAATCGCCTACAATGAAAGTTATGATGTTATAAGTACTCTACATATACGGGGTTATAGAGTTGTTAGATTGAGTGGATTGGAAAAGCTCTGTTGCAGGGGCTGATGAGGTCCCAGCTGCAGTGGTGCCTGCTGCATTGAGTCACTGACCCTCTCTGAGCCTGTTTCATCTGTGAAATGGGTGAAATGGGAGTAGTGATATCCTCTTCCTTCAGGGATTCGGCTATCTTAAGTTGTTGTGAGGTGCAAATGTAGAATGTAGGTAACAATGTAGAAAAGCACTTTATAAAAACTCAGGTAAATGTCCTGATCCCATTATACATTAAAAATATGATAAGCTTTTTGAAGGAGAAAAATATAAGCTTTAAAATGCTGTATTTTGTTTGCGAGGAGCTCACAGTGGTGGTGAAGGTGGCTCTTTCCCACTCAGGAGTTAGATCCCACCGTTAGAGGGGAAGCTTTAATAACCACCTTTTAAGTTCCAAATGAGGAAGTTTTGAAAAAAATTTTGAGTGGTAGTGGTGAGTTTGTTTCTGGCACTGAAATAATTTATTTTATGCCTGTGGAGAATATTTAACTCGGCATTACATTAAAAGAAGCAAAACTAAACATTAGCCTTCAGAATTTAATGGAGACTTGCTTCATCCTTACTTCCTGGAAATTGTTCAGCATTAATGGATTTAGAAAACCATTTTGTTAACTAGCACTTAAAATAAACTGAGAAGGGTTTTCTTCATGGCAGGTGCCATAACTACATTAACTGAGTTCTATTAGTGGTTCATTTAACTTTCTGTTACAATTCAGTCATCATTCTTTACTAGTCAGGAAGTAGTTAATCTAAGTTAGAAGTATATATTTTATTAGTATATTTGTTTATACCACTTTTTTCGAGTATGTATATTTATGGAGTATTATTGTTTTGTTATGATTTAAGTTATTTTGGAAAACTTGTTTTTCTGATAAAAATTTCTAAAGACTGGTGTTGCAAATTCCAGCCGTGCTTCTAAAATCATTTTGCGTTTTGAGACATGAACTATTTAAAAGCCTGAGTGCATGTATTACAGTCATTAATGTACTGCCAAGCCCTGTGTTACGTTATGTTACATCTAAACTTCACAGAGTATCTTTTAACTCCATCCTCGTCCTCGGTTGCCATCAGCACAGAAAGGTTAATTCCTCTAAGAAGACTTCTCATGCAAGTGGCAGTCAATCACAGTTCATAATTTTCACATTCTTGTCTAGGGATTGTATATAATTTTTGTAGAATGTAGAGGCAATATATTCTAATAAAAGGGAGACTTTCTCCTTGATGCTTCCCTTTTCTGGCCTCTTAAAATTCCTCCTTTCCCCTTCTCACATAAGTTTTATTATGTTTCTCATCTTTCCTCATTTCCTGGTCTTACCCTTTTGTTTTCATTCTATTTTTAATTTTTTCCCCTCTTTTCTGAAAGTGTGTTTACACACGTTTGTGCATGTTGCATGCTTGTGCATTTTGTCAGAAGAGCACTTCAGACTGCTTCACCTCAGAAGTCTTTGGCATAGGAATTTTTTAGGTTTATGGGGTCAAATGTTTCTTCAGAAATCCTCAGTTCTCTTCTCGTTAAAGAACTATTATATTCCCAGATAGTGAGGGAGTCACTGTCTCCTGGGGCTTTGTGACATTCTTTTGTCCTCCTGTCAGGGAGAAATTGAATTCTTTTATTTGTTACCTCAGAAGTATCCAAAATAAAACAAAATGATGTGCATATATGTCTATCATTAAGCAGAATTTGGGGCTTACATTACTTGTACTTTAAAGCCAAAGAGGTGATTGTCTTCACTGATATCTAGACTTGACTACTAGGGCTTTCTTTAAAAACAAAACACAAAAAGCCAAACAAAAAAACCCCCACAAACACAACTTTCTGATCAGTCAAAACAGAGTGTGTACATTTTCTCTCTGATATTTGCTTCATTTTAACTTTTGTCTTCATGGCTCTGTCTAGTTTCAGATGATTGACAAGATACAAATGAATTTTAGTTATGTAATTATTATTAAAGTTACTGTGGTAGGAAATGAAAGTGTGCAACAAAGTGGCCTGAAAATAATTGGTCATTTAGACTGTGCCCTAGTTAGTGGAAAGTTACCCTAGTTAGAAATTCTAGATGAATGTGAGTTTCTTGTGAAGACCTGTCCCTTTCCAGTGTCTCTCCAGCAGAGAGAAAAACAAGCCTTAGGTACTGTGGGTCCTGCTGGAAAGTTTCTAGGTGCCTGCAAGCAGCATCGCACATCTACTAGTATGTTAAGGGTAAGTGTAGTGTAGGAAGGTTAATAATAGTTTTCATGAAAAAGTGTAATTTATTAGGTTACAAAAATTCTTTAAAATTTGGCTTCTTTTTTCCAAATTCCTCCTTTCATAGAGAGTTTTTTTAATGGGGGTAGTAATATAGAGATCTTCATTTCATACCAAGCAGGAGAAAAGAGTTACCTTGAGCCATGGCTAGGTACCTCAGTTGGTTAGAGCCTTGTACCATTATGCCAAGGTGGAGGTTCAATTCTCGGTCAGGATACATAGAGGAATCAATTAATGAATGCTTGGATCAGTGGAGCAACAGATGGATGCAACAGATCAGATGGATGTTTTTCTCTTTGTCCCGCTCCCTTTTTCCTTCTTTCCCTCTTCTCTCTCCTTCTCTCGCTTTCCCTCCTCCTCTTTCTAAAAATCAATTTATAAAAAGTCACCTTGGAAACTTTGAATATCATTCACCATTTATAATTGTGCCTCCAGCACAAATAGTTAGAAGTAAGCATGTTCCATTGTCCTTGAAGGTCAGAGGTCTTACCTTCCTTGGCATGTGCAGTTGGGGCTGGGTCAGTATTGCTCAAGGAACACTCCAGCCTTGTGATCTTGGATTTCCTTCTTCATCTCTTGGTGCTTCACTTCCTTTAACTGTAAAATGGCAGGAATTGAACTAGATGATTTTTGGAGTTCTATTTCTAAAGTTCTGTTAATCCCTACGATTGTGCTTTCTTGTTAAAAATCCATGGTGAAGGATTTCAGGTTTCTTGCTCTTAAAATTTTTACTGTTGTAATGGAATATGAAGATAGGCAGAAACCATAATTTTGTTTCAAAGATTTATAATAGATTATTTGAATTACCATTATGAAGCAGTACTGTATTTCTCCATAAGCGATCCAAATAGATAAAACTGGTTTTTGTTTCAAATCCTTTTTTATTAAAACACTTAATTTTCTCTTGGAACTTTACATGCATCTTTTCATTATAAGTTTCCATTTTTGGAAGCCATTGCTTTATTTATTAAGGTTTCTAAATTTTTGTGAGTTTTGATGATCATCTGAATTAGAATTCATGTAAAGATAGCATGGAATAATAAAATGTTGAAAAGAAGGTCCAGATTGATTCCTCTTATCAGTTTTGGAATTTTCAAGATTCCTAGATAGTAGTATAATGTAATAGGAATTTAAGTAGAGTATACCTTTTCTCTCACATTTTTATGACTAATTGTGTCAAGATCACTTGTAAGCTTTCTAAATGACCTAAACTTGAACAGGAGAGAAAATGGTGTATCTTCATGCTCTGCTGCTAATTTCTTGAAGGTGCCATTGTCTGCCTAGAGTGAATTTCTCATGGCTTTCAGATAATCATGTCCAGTGATCTTGGCAAATAACCTGCACAATAATCATAGACACTTCATGAATTTTACATGGTTACTTTTTGGAGCTTCAGAAAATTTCCACTTTTTCTTGACTTTATTTTGACTGTTTCTTCTTTTTGATCAATGCTGTTTGAAAAGACTAGATTTGTAATGTGAATAAAAGAAAAATAGAAAATTAATATAAAATATTTTTTTGGTATGTTAATTTTCTATCCCCCTCCCCCTGAATTCAATTTCTAGTTCAGATACTATCACTTCTAGTTATAGCTGGATCTTTCTAAGTGTAGCTTTGGGATTTTACTCAGTTTGATTAGTATTGCAATCAGAAAATTCACAAGAACTTCTCACCTTGTGTAAATTGATTTCATTCTTTTTTACTTTTTTTTAATTTGAGAAAAATATCTTAATGATTATATTTATTTCTGAACTTACTATTGGAGATGGGTCATCCTGCTGCAAGCTTAATTACTTACATTGAAATTTTGTTCATCTTCACCTTAGAATATTTTTCCCATTGATTTTTGGAGAGAGTGAAAGGGAGAGGGGAAAGAAAGAAAGAAAGGAAGGGAGGAAGGGAAGAAGGGAGGAAGGAAGGAAGGAAGGAGAAAGAAAGAGAGAGAGAGAAAGAGAGAGATAGAAAGATAAACATTCATATGAGACATCCATAGATTGGTTGGCTTCCATACACACCCCAACTGAGCCCGGGGATCGAACCTGCAACTCAAGTACATGCCCTTGACTGGGAACCCAACCCAAGACCCTTCAGTCTGCAGGCTGATGCTCTAACCACAGAGCAACCAACCAGGCTACATTGAAATATTTTAACAGTGTGGCTCATCACAAATAGTAATGTTCAAAGACTAGTTTATTAAGGTATTTTGCAGGTATCAAGTTCTGTTTTGCACAGGGTGAGAATCTCTTAGGAAGTTTTCTGAATGCTTTATATTTTTATTTTATTTTTTTTAAAGCTGTGTTATTTTTTAGTTCCTCATGCTTTGGAAGTAACAGTTGAAGAGAGGTGAGGAAAGTTTGTGAAAATTGTGATCGGGGATTAGCTGCCACCTGCCAGAGGTGTCTTCTGAGAGGAACTAACCTCTTTGTGGTGCTAGAGCAAGGTCACTGGATTAAAAAAAACAACAGGTAACCATCTTATTCCTTGTCTGAAAAGTTCAATTAATAAATGCAACGTGTTCAAGGGAAGGTGAGCTGGTGTTTACAGAAAGAACCTAATTCTCTCCTCAGAAACAAGCAAGGTGGACTATGTCCTCTTTCAAGCTGCCACGGCCATCATGGAGGCAGTGGTCCGAGAGTGGATCCTCTTGGAAAAGGGCAGCATTGAGTCACTGCGAACATTCCTTTTAACCTACGTCTTACAGAGGCCCAAGTAAGTACACAAAGGAGTTCTGCTGAAACACTATGCTAAGCTTATCCTTTTGGAGCCTTTCCCTTTGTTTTTCTTTATTTCTTTTAAAGATAGACATTATGGGGAAGCTATGTGTGGGCCTCATATTTTATTTTATTTTATTTATTTTTAAAAAAATATATATTTTATTGATTTTTTACAGAGAGGAAGTGAGAGAGATAGAGAGTTAGAAACATCAATGAGAGAGAGTCATGGATCAGCTGCCTCTTGCACACCCCCTACTGGGGATATGCCCACAACTAAGGTACATGCCCTTGACCGGAATCGAACCCAGGACCCTTCAGTCCCCAAGCCGACACTCTATCCATTGAGCCAAACCAGTCTCGGCTGGGCCTCATATTTTAAAAACTCATTCAGCCCTAATTTTGGCTTAGTGAGTAGAGCATCAGCCTGGGGACTGAAGGATCCTGGGTTCGATTCTGGTCAAGTTGAGGGCTCCATTCCCGGTTGGGAGCGTGCAGGAGACAGCCTGTCAATGATTCTCTCATTATTGAAGTTTCTGTCTCTCTTTCTCTCTGAAATCAATAAAAATATATTTAAAAACAGCCCTGGACGGTTTGGCTCAGTGGATAGAGTATCGGCCTGCAAACTGAAAGGTCCCAGGTTCGATTCTGATCAAGGGAAAATGCCCGGGTTGTGGGCTCGATCCCTCGTGGGGGACTTGCAGGAGGCAGCTGATCCATGATTCTCTCTCATCATGGATGTTTCTCTCTCTCTCTGTCTCTCTGTCTCTCTCTTCTTTCCTCTCTGAAATCAATAAAAATATATTAAAAATATATACATATTTAAAAACAAAGAAAACTCCTCATGATTATAGCTTGTTTTGCTACTTAATGAAACAGTGATTTAAAAAAAAAAAAAATTGAATTTATTGGGGTGACAGTGGTTAATAAAATTATATGGGTTTCAGGTGTACATTTCTATAATACATCATCTGTATATTGTATTTTGTGTTCACCACCTCAAGGAAATAATGATTTTTGGGTTTATGATACTAGATTTTGTTTCTTTGAGGAGATTGTGCTGGGTGTTAGTTTTTTTTGTTCTTTGTTTTGTGGTTGTTTAGAAGATTTTGGTTTTAAGTAAAAGTTGATTTTGGACTCAGTTGAAAAGCCTTTTTAGTTGTTCTTCCTTTGGTGCTTGGTAAATATTATAAGACAGGTGAGTATCCCAAGATGGGTAAAGGAGGAATTAAGCACACTGACAAACCAAACATTACATATAGAAATGTATGTTACATAAAAAGATTGTAGAAGAAAAAAAAGCACCAAATTCTCTAACATTTTTTTTGGAGAGGGGCTCCAGTTTAAGTAATGGGGTGAAGGTGAATTTCTTTACATGTTATACACATTGTAGTGTTTAAACATTTTATAAACATTTTATAAGATTGTATGTATTTATTATTGCTTTATGTTTTTTTGTTTTTTTGTGTTTTTTTTTTAAATAAGAGGAAAATTATTAGCACACAACTTTTGGGGAGAGATTCACTTATAACTTTCTTTTTATGGTAAGTCCCATAAATGCCAAGTCTTCTTTTAAGAGGCGATGCACAGTCTCTATGTGCTATTTCCAAGTTTTTTTGTTGGATACTTTTTTGAATGCATGCTGTTAATTTCCAAGTTTTTTTGTTTGTTTTTTTTAAATCAATCTTTATTGTTCATATTATTACAAGGTTCCTCATTTCTTCCCCCTTCCACCAGGTTCCCACCCCATCCTCCGCTCCCTCCCCACCCCCCATTGTCCTCATCCATAGGTGCACAGTTTATGTTCAGTGTGTCGTGTTCCCCCCCGCCCCAGAACAGTCAGTCTACTCCCCTCCCATATCACCGACTCTACTACAATGAACCGCTATTATTGTTCATCAGGTTTTTCAGTCTCCTTTTGTTGTTGTTGTGTTTTTTGTTTTTTGTTTAATTAATAAACTTTTACACTTCTAAGAATAAATTTTAAAATATAATAATTTTAAACCTTGTTTTTTTTCTGCCCTGGGAATTGAGAGCAAACTTGTTTACATCTAAACTTGTCCTTAGGCTATCAAAAAGTGTAGCCATTCAAGTGTAAATGGACACGTTGTTTAAACATAGCTGCTGGTTGGAATTGGATTACCTGTTATGGGTGGGAAGGGCTTGTCATTTCCTTTCTCCATTAAAATTAAGGTGTTAGCTTTAAAACCTCTTTTTAGCAAAAGACCTTAAACTTTCAGAACTTTAAATTTTTCAGATAGTAAATCAGTTACTTAGCATTTTTCTCAAATCAATAATACCTCCACATGCCCAGGGATACACTTCACATAAAAGACATTTCCAAATAGATCAACCAACCTCATCCAGGCCCCACACAAGGCACCCACAGATCAATACCCCAGCGCTATACTAACTCAACACATCCAGATCTAAGCCTTCCTCATTTGATTCAGCAGACCCTCAAGTTCCCCCAAAAGTTTCTAGCCATGTCTGAGAGGCAGCCTTGGGGCGGGGGCAGGCGAGGAGCGAGCTGTTCCGGGCCTGGTTGCTCCGGGCCTGGCCTCTGTTGCTCTGGTTCGTTCCACAACCAGCTGCTCCGGGTCTGGCCACTGCCGCTCCCGACCTGGCTGCTCTGGGCATGGCTGCTGCTGCTCCGGGCCTGGCCGCACCCGACCCGGCCGCTTTGGGCCTGGCCGCTCCCAACCTGGCTGCTCCAAGCATGGTTGCTGCTGCTCTGTGCCCGGCTGCTCTGGGCCCGGCTGGATGTTCCGAGCCTGGAAGCTTCCGGCCTGGATGTTCCGGGCTTGGCTGCTGATGTTCTGGGTCTGGCTGCTCCCAACCCGGCTGCTCTGGGCCCGTCCACTCCGGGCCTGGGTGTTCCTGGACTGGCCACCCTGGGCTTGGCCGCCTCCGCCTCAGGCCTGGCTGCCACTGCCCCAGGTCTGGCTGCTCCAGGCCTGGCTGTTGCTGCTCTGGTTCTGACTGCTGCTACTCTGGAGCCTGGCTATTGCTGCTCCAGGCCCGGCTGCCACTGCCTTGTGCCTGGCCACTCTAGGCCTGGCCGCCGCCGTTCCAACATTCTGTCCTTTTTTTTTTTTTTTTTTTTCTTTTTAAACGCATTTATGTTGCAGTGTTGGCTGCTGAGTTGAGTTCTGACTTAGTCTTCGATTTTTCAAGGTCTTCTTTATATTCTTTCTTAAGTAATTTTACTATCTTTTGCTCTCACTTGATTTCTTCACATTGAGAACTTCTTCGTTTTCTTCCTTCTTGTCCTGGAAGCTCAGCAGGTTGGCCTGTGGCACCCCTTTGTTCTCCGTGGGCTCCTGTGCTGCTTCAGCCTGTTGCCGGGGTCGGCGCTGCCCAGGAAGCAGCCCCCGGCCTTGGCTCCATGGCCCGCGCTCAGCAATCGAAGGGCCAGGGGCCCCGCGTCCCCCCCCCCCCCCCCCAGGGGCCCCGTCGCCCGGCTCCTTGCTGGCGCCCGGCTGGCCGGTGTCCAGCAGGGGCTCCTGCTCCTCGTTGAGTTCCTCCCGTCTGGAGGTTTTTTTCTCCTTCCCACTAGGGGCGTCTAGCATCAGAGTCAACAGACTGTCCTCTACGCGCAATGTGCGCGACTCCAGGGTCTCGCTTTTCGCCACTCCCCCAGGACTCCACCTCACAGCCCCGTCTCCCTCTGCTTGAGCCTGGGTCCCCAGGGATTGGCCTAGAACTGGGGTTCAGAGCAATCGGGAGTGGGGCTCAGCACCGCCAGAGGTTTTGTTTCTTCCCGCCTGGGCAATCCAGTATCAGGGTCAACATTCCATCCTCTGTGCGCAATGTGCGCGACTCCGGGGGCTCTGCTTTTTGCCGCTCCCCTGGGACTCCACCTCACAGCCCCGTCTCCCTCTGTTTAATTTCCAAGTTTAATGAAGAAAATTTTACGTAATTAAAAACGTTAGTCATGAGGAATGTGGATTGGTGATGATAAACATGCATAAAGCTTTAAAAGTAATAGGGAGCACACTGTTGTTATACCTTCCTACTGACTGTTCATGGGAAGTCTTTGAATTTGTAATATTGAATCATAATTACTGGCATGACTTTAGCTTTCAGTTAAGTGCTGATTGCTTTACATATAGAAGATGCACAAAATAAAAAAGCCTACGTTAGTTTAGCATGTTAGCATTGCATGTTTAATGACTGTGTTTTATATAGATGAGTGGCTATACATGTATGTTTTCTGGTTTTAACAATGGAAGATAAATTTGCTCCAGTTTCAAACCTTTCTCTTTTTTTATGCTGGTTTTCTTAATTAATTTATTTTTAAGTGTTCTTTATTATTTATTTTCCTAGTCCTATATAATAAAGAGGGAATATGCTAATTGACCATCACCCTCACAAAGATGGTGGTGCCCACAGCCAATAAGGAGGGAATATGCTAATTGACTGCCATGCCCTCAAAGATGGCGTCACATACAGCCACAAGATAGAGGCGCCCAATCCCTTCAGTCCTGCTGGGGCAGCAGGTGCATGGCATGGCTGGGCCTGCCCCCAGGTGGGTCCAGCGCTCTGTGAACCTGCCTCTGGAGTCCCCCAGTTTCTTCAGTCCCCCAGCTGCCCAGGGCCAGACCAAGGGATGACCAAACAACTGAACAAGCAGGCTGCATGGGGCAGCTAGGCCGGCAGTGGGGATTAGTGAGGGATAATCAAATGACTGAACAGCATGCTGCATGGGGTGACCAGGCTGGTGGGGAGGAGTGTGAGGGGCAACCAGGTTGGCAGGGGTGGGGGGCAGTTGGGAGTGACCAGGATTGCAGGGGAGGCAGGGGCAATTAAGCGGGTGGGGGGGCCAGTAAGAGGTAACCAGGCCAGCAGGGGGGCAGTTGGCGACCAGACTGGCGGGGGGCAGCAGTTAGGGGAGACTCGACTGGCATAGGTATATGTAGTTGGGTGTGACCAGGCCAGTGGGGGTTGGAGGCTATTAGGGGTGACCAGGTTGTTGGCAGAGTGGGGGGAGCAGTT